CATGTTTAGCCTAAGGGGTGGAGAAGCTTATTTTCAGGGTGATACCTTATATTTCACTTAGAAGGAAACCTGTAAGTAGGTCTTATTTTCGGAGGATGTCTTATTTTCGGGGAAACAGGGTAGCTAGTGATCATGCTTTTCTTTCTCTGTGCTTCCCCGGCCCTCTAATGCCTGTTACCTTCCACAGAGTAGCCCACCAAAGTCAAATACAGAAACACGCATTGCAAAATCAAGGCAGCAGCTCTGGTGAAAGCATTTTTAGTAGCGTGTCCTACACCACTTATCTCAGAGAGATAGAGAACTAAGAGTCCTAAACTTTGTGACACATTTAAGAACTTTTAAGACCAGAAGAAACACAAATAATTCTGTTTTAATTCCATTAGTTAAGAAACAAGAAAACTAAAGGAAGCACATGGCTGTCCTAAGAAAATGATTACCCTTAGTGTTTATCTTCCTTGGACTTCATGTTCTTTTTTCAAATTAAGGCATGATGAAAGCAAGATTTCAGAGCCATCTGGCCTGCTTTATACATGTAATTTTTTTGTTCTAAGTTTAATCTTTCCCTCCTATAAAGCTTAAACTGTCTAGCAACAAGGGAGTGTGGTATAGTGGAGAGAGCACTGGATTTGGGAATCTGAAAATGTAGGCTCTAACTTCAACTCTGTCCTTTAATTTTCATAAATCATTTTGAGTATCCATTTTTAAAAATAGAGTTAATAGTACCAGCCCTATTTCCCAAGCATAGTTGTATGAAGCAAATGAGATAACGTCTGTCTAAGTGGCTTATAAACTAAAAAGGACTACAGAAAGTATTGCTAAGTATTATTCATGTATTTAACAATTCATTAAGTGTCTCCTCTGCATATAGCACTATTCAAGGGACAAAAGAAGATTCCAGAGTGTAAGATTGGCCGTGTCTTTTCCTAGTTGACAGTTGTTTGGTTTATAATCTAAATGAGTAGATAAGGCAAGCTAAATATTTTGAAGGATGTAACGTGCAGAAATATTCCTATGCATTGTTCACTCCTTCTGTCATGTGGGACTTCAAGCTGAGACCCAGCTTCAGCGGACAGTCTGTTCCAGTGATGAGGGTCAACTGTGGCCTGACTCATTTGATGCTGATGAACCAAGTGTGCTATTTGTATGGGGACTATATCAGTTTCATTGAGTTTATTGAGGACAGAGCATGTGAAAAGTGACCTTGGCTTGCTGGATGGTATCTCCAGATTCCTTCTAGAGTTGAATGATGTGACTGGGAGAAGGAACTAGTGGCTTTATGTGTAGTCATCTCACCTCAGGGCTAAAATATTTATTTATTTATTTATTTTAAATATATCTTATTGATTTTTTACAGAGAGGAAGAGAAAGGGATAGAGAATTAGAAACATCGATGAGAGAGAATCATCGATCAGCTGCCTCCTGCACACCTCTTACTGGGGATGTGCCCGCAACTAAGGTACATGCCCTCGACCAGAATCAAACCTGGACCTTTCAGTCCACAGACTGACACTCTATCCACTGAGCCAAACCGGTTTTGGCAGGGCTAAAATCTTTAGATGGTGCTTCTGCTGACCTAGCCTTTCATTCCTTCTTATAAATAGAATCAGGCTCAATAGCATATTTAAATAAACAAATAAGTAACTAAGAACTTTGGCATGTTTTAAGAAAATAGTTTTTTTGAGTAAAGTGAGAATGAGGAAAACCTTCAGCAAGTAAGCCAGCCTACAGAGGGTAACAATATCATAGTTCTGCTTTTAAGCCATATACTCACCTTTGACAAGAAGGCAGTGTCCGGCGTGAACAGTTTTTAAAAGCCTCCCTTTTAAAAAGCAAGTCTCGGCCGAAACCGGCTTGGCTCAGTGGTAAAGCATCGGTCTGCGGACGGAAAGGTCCCGGGTTCGATTCTGGTCAAGGGCATGTACCTTGGTTGCAGGCACATCCCCAGTGGCGGGGAGGGTGCAGGAGGCAGCTGGTTGATGTTTCTCTCTCATCAACGTTTCTAGCTCTCTATCCCTCTCTCCTCCTCTCTGTAAAAAAATCAATAAAATATATTTAAATAAAAAATAAATAAATAAAAAGCAAGTCTCTCCCCTTCCCTTCTCTCCATCATGCTGAGGCTGAATTCAGAACTAGTTTCTGGCAGGTGACCCCTGAGGAACTTGAAAAACATGTTGTCTAGCTGATGTTGGTTTTTAAATTTAGATCAAATGGCGCTGTCTTTGAAGTCTCAAGAGCCCTACTTAAGGCAGCTGGAGCAGATACGCTGGCCTCTCAAGGTGCTTCTTACAGGCTGGCGTCCTGGATAGCAAAAGTGAAGCCTGGTCAAAAATAAATGAAAAAGAAAGTTTTATTGGGATTATTTACTGGAAGATAGCTATTTTAGAAGAAACCTTGACAGGCCATCCCGTTGCCTCTAGACAGGAACACACAAGGCATATGGGCATCTGCAGTGTTTTAGAAGACCTTGGGGGACCAGGCTTCTTCCATAACTCATTCCAGAGTTTAAACACCCTCGCTCCAGGAAATTCTTCCCTATATTTAACTTGCAGGCCCCCTCCTGCCGTTAACACCCATTTCCGCTTTTTTCTGTCTCCAGTTCGGATGAAGAACAGCTGGCCAGCATCCTTTGTGAGCTAACCCTCCACCAGCGACAGAGTCACTGGGGTCTCCCTGGGCTTCTTTCCTCAGCCTCTAGCAACCGCGTCTTTGCGCCAAACCCAGATCTTTTTCTCTTCGTTTTCATTTGTGTCTTCTTTCTTTCTTTTCATTCCTTTGGATTATATAGTAATATGTGCCTAATGAATAAAATTTGGAAGACGTAAAAAATATATAGAAGAGGGGGAAACCACAATCCAGGGAGAAAAGCCGCCGTTGGGTTAGTTCTCTGTGTGTCTCTCATACAGAGGAGCTGAGATCTCTACGCCAGTGCCGTTCAGTAGAAAGACAGTCTGGGCCACATGTGTTGCTTTTAAGTTTCTGGCAGCCACACTGAAAAAAGATAAAAGGGAATAGGTAAATTAATTTTAATAATACATTTCATTTAATCCCGATAAAATAATAAATTGTCAACCTGTAATCAGTGTTTTTCAAATGATTAGTAAAATGCTTCACATTTCTTTTTTTTACATTATGCTTCCTAAATCCAGTGTATATTTTACATTTACTGGCACATCTCAAATCCAAGTAGCCACACGGCAGTGCTCAGTAACCTGTGGCTAGTGGCTACCGTATTGGACAGCACTATTGTTGTAGTTGTGTATACTGCTTTTTTGGTATATCAAACCTTAAGGCTTTTAGCAATGCACTGAAAACTTTTTAATATCATTTTAATGGCTACATAATATTTCCTCATTTAGATTTACTATAACCATGTCTTTAGATAGTTTTGTTTCCCTGTTAGAAGTAACTCTGTAGTGCTCTTTTTAATGTTAACTGAATGTTTTCTCAACTCCTTGCCAAAAGAAATAAAAAACAATACCTTTTGAGTACAACTAATTAAATCCATTTACCCATAAAACAAGTATATTCGCTCCATATCTCCTGTGTGCTCTGCACTGCATTAGGTTAGAAAGTAGAAACGTGGGCTGCAAAGAAATTGAAGAAGACCAGGTCCCTCCCAGGCCATGTTTACAAGCCTTGGCTCCACAGTTGGACTGCACGCACACTGTGTTTTGTTCCTCCTTCAATATCCTTCTCTTTGTTTCTTATTATCCCCGCTCCCCACACACTCACAGCTGGGCCCATTTCCCCTTACTCAGGCACCAATTAAATATGACCTCCTCTGATGAGTCCTTAAGATTTCTGGCTCCCTTCTCCACTAAAATATGCAAAATGGACATTGTATACCAAGCACTGTGGTGTTCTGGCTATTGATGAACTCTGTCTTCTCTACTACCAAGTGGGAACTCCCTACCAACAGAAACCTTATTTTATCCACCTCTTTCTCCCCAGAGCCTCCCAGACTGCCAGGCAGTGAGGGTGACGTCTGCTGGAATATGTACAGAAATGTCAGGGATTATATTAAGCATCAGTTGGATGGTATAATCATAAGTAATGTAGCTGTTAGAGTTCAAAGATCACTTTAGATTGGCATGTTTGAAGGGTTAATGAAGAAGGTAGGACTTCAAGTTGGCTTTGGAAGATGGGCATACTTAAACGAATGGAGGGAAGGAATTAGCAGAAAAGCCACTTATGTGTCCTGTACTAAGTGTTTTCCAGGGGGGATTCTTTATCAGCAGATAAGCATCCTTCTAGGTCTAAAGCACTGTACTCTTAAGTTTCAAGAAGGCTCTAGTGATAGGGTCTTTGCCCACCAAAAGCTGACACTAGTTTGCAGCATTCAAAGTGGCCACTGGCTGCTTCAGTGTGACCTTGAGTTTAAGCTCAATTTAGATAAATTCCCTGTGTTTCATCTTTGGGGTTGATGCTTGTTCAGTGACTCTTTTGCTAGTGGATAACAATGTAATAATAAATAATGTCATTATAGCTAAGACAGGTGACTGTTACTGTAAATCAGATACGGTAGTCTCCCAGGCATTTTGACATATTATTTCATTAATTCATTTAATCCTCACAACAACCCTGTGAATTAAGACCCATTATCCTCTGACATCTTACAAATGAGGAAACCGAGGCACGGGCAGGTTAAAGTAACTTAAAGGTGACATAGCCATCTAGCAGAGGAGTAAGATCTGGGCCCAGGCAGAACAGCGTTAGGGCCCCTGTTTTAACTGTTCCTCAGTGCAGCCTCTCATAATGATTTTAAGATTAAACTGTCTTACACAAGGGGCCGTTCGGCATCTTCTGGTTCCCGAAAAGGAACCCTGTTATTATAACCCTCTCCTTGTTCTCTTCATTCCTCTCTGACTGCTTCTCCTTATCTCGTGTGCCTCATTTTCTGCCTCATCATGGAAATCTAGAGCCCCTCCAGGCTCAGTGCCAGGCCCTCTTTTTTTTTTCCTTTCTTGTGGACGTTTTAATGACCTTCCCTCCATGTAGCTTCAAGCTACCAGACACAGGCCCCACCAGCACCCTTCATCCTCTCCTCGGCTCTTCTGCTGGAGCCCTTGCCTTCACAATGACAGGCTGAGGGAGCTTTCCCTTCCCCAGAACGTTGTAGTAGCCCGACCGCACCACATCAGCGACAGGAGCAGCTCCAGTCTTGCTTTTGACAGCCTTTACCCGTGTCTGCTCGCTGACCAGGGCCCACAGTTTATCCAGGTTGACAGCTGGGCAGGAGCTCTGGTTCTCCTTTAGGTGGTAATGCCTCACCCCGACTTTCCCAAAGTCACCTGGGAGACATTTGTCAAAGGTGATCCTGTGATGACGCAAGGCACCAGCATTACCACACACACACACCCTTCCTGTGTTTGCGATGCGGCCATGGCCATGGCTATGGCTCACGTGGCCCCAAAGTGTTGGGGTCTTCCTCAGTCTGGATGGCATGTTGGTGGCCGAGCTGCAAAAGCCAGGCCCTCTTTTTTTTCTTTTTCTTTTTTTCCTTTATTTTGGGGTGACAGTTGTCATTTTGATTGTCCTCATATTGAAATAAAGCACAAGTGTGCAGTCACCAACCTAGATGTCTTTTCTGATATCAGCGCTCTATTCCAACTGCCTCCTGGATGTTTTCACAACACATTCTTTGAATCCATTTTTTCAGCCCCCTGGTCCTCCAGGCCTCAGTTTTCAGCAAAGGAATCTCCATCTATTCTTTTACACTAGCCCGGAAGCCAGGCATAATCCTCACTTTCCCTCTCAACCTAGCGATACCTGCTGATTTCCCCTGATGTCTGTTCATATCTCTGCATTTCCACTCTGGTCCAAGCCAGGATCTCTCACTTAAACTACTACACAGCCAGTGGTCCGCCAGCATTCGCCTCCAGTCTGTCCTCCAACTTCAGCCAGAGCGCACTTTCCCTCTCTCCCTCCCCACTGCCACATCTAGCCTAAAACACTTACCGACTTAGATGAGGAGAAAAATGCTTACATGGCCTGTGGGCCGCTGCATGGTCCAGACCTTGTTTTCTTCTCCAGCTTCATTGTCTTCCATGTTCTTCACTTGATGACCTTTTGGGTCCTCACACCGTGTTCTGTCTTGTGACATAGGGCCTTGTTCCCTTTGCCCAGAAGATGCTCCCACCCACTAATCCATTCTTCACCCTGTGAAGGATTCTACTACCCCTTCTAATCTCGGCCTCCCTGCGTCAGTTCTGTTATAAGCCTTAACCCATGTTCTCTCCTGCATGGCAGTGTTAGAGGTGGTCATTGTGCATTGACGTTTGTAATTTTGTTGACAAATGTCTGTCCTCTCCCACAGTGGTGTAAGCTCCATAAGCAGGAACCATGGCTTTTTTCTCAATCATTGTTGTATCCAAGATAAAGTAATGTCTAGTGCACAGTACCTTATGCATAGTACTCTCAATATGTATTTGAATAAGGAAATAAATAAGTTAATTTGTTAATATAGGGTGTCCCCTGAAAATTATTAAAGCAGCAGTCATCAACTGGTGGTCAATGGACCACTAGTGGTTTGTGAGATCCAAAAGGTTGGCTGCTGCTGTATTAAAGTACATTTCATTTTTAAAATGTAATAGAAAGCTGAAACCAGTTTGGCTCAGTGGATAGAGCGCTGGCCTGTGGACTGAAGGGTCCCAGGTTTAATTCCTGTCAAGGGCATGTATCTTGGTTGCGGGCACATCCCCTGTAGGAGGTGTGCAAGAGGCAGCTGACCGATGTTTCTCTCTCATCGATGTTTCTAACTCTTTATTCCTCTCTCTTCCTCTTTGTAAAAAGTCAATAAAATATATTTTTTAAAAATAAAAATAAAATAAAATGTAATAGAAATCAGCTGTTAAAAGTGTGTATACATTTTGGGGAGGATACCCAAATGTCCTGTTAATCTGTATACAGTTTTATATTGCACCTCTTTTGGTGGGATAGAGGAATATATTAGATTAGCTTCCCAAGATGTTATATCGAGACCCTCAAATATCTTATTAAGCAATGATTAAATGATGGCTAAATGGCCCTAGACGGGAACTCCGTTGATTAGAGTATCATCCCAATATGCCAAGGTTGCAAGTTCAATCCCCGGTCAGGGCACATATAAAGAATCAACCAATGAATATGTCAGCAAGTGGAACAACAAATCTATGTCTCTCTCTCTCTCTCTCTCTCTCTCTCTCTCTCTCTCTCAAACAATCAAATAAAACAAAATTTTTAAAATGTAATTCAAGTACTTCTTCCAAAGGCCTCCAGCATATCCCAAAATGGTGGCAGAGCTATCCATTTTTCTTTGAAAATAACACTCAACTGAAGCCCCGTGCCTCGGCTCAGGGCAGAGCTTATTAGCATGGTGGCAGCTCAGCTTCAGCAGGTCTTTCACAGACTGCATTTCACAGCTTCTGTCATTGGCCTCGGGAGTCCAAAGCTTCCTGTGATCCTCTTTGCAATCAACCCTTTAGGTTCGAAAGCATTCCCTGACTGAGGTTTTAATTTCCCTATAGAGTTCTTTTTGGGGCTGGGCTCTGTGAGATTACTATTTCCCTGGCAACGTTATTATTTTTTTCCTAGTTTTCAGCATAAACACTTTATTACTCCCCTGCCTTAATTGCTGTCCAGACACTCCCCCGGGTCCCCAGGTTCCATCCCTGGCATCTCTCTGTTTTACAGACCATTTTACAGTCCTCATCTTGTTTTTTGCCTGACTCTGTCCATAGACTCATTGTATGATGATTTGTTTTGTTTTGTTTTGTTTTGTTAATCCCAAGGATATTTTTTTTAATTGATTTTTAGAGAGAATGCAAGGGAGGGGGAGAGACAGAGAGTGAAACATCGATGTGAGAGAGACACGTCGATTGGTTACCTCCCACACATGCCTCGATCAAGACTCGGGATTGAGCCTGCAACCAAGGTATGTGCCCTTGACTGGAATCAAACCCAGGACTCTTCAGCCTATGGACTGACACTCTAACCACTGAGCAAACCAGCTAGGGCTGTATGATGATTCCTTAAAGTGAAAGCTAATGGGAAAAGAGGTTGACTTGCCCACCCCCATGGACCTCTTTTGTCCCTTTGGAGGATCATATTCTATTCCCTGATCCCAGGGAGCTCAGCCTTGAGCCTGGCTTCCAGATAGGCCTCCTGGCAGGGGGGACCCCTTAGCCTTGTCTCTTGGCTTATGCTGGAGCCGCTCTTCCAAACGGGGCCCTGCTGCCCAGGGCTAAGGAGGGTCGATGGTGGCCCTCACATCACATGGCCCAGGAGGAGGGGTTGCTTCAGCTGCTTGTTTCATCCTTTGCCTCTGGAACTTTGTCCTTCAGAAATCTGCCTTTCCATCAGCCTTCGGTTTACAGAAAATGTAAAGGCTCCCTTGTTCCTTTAGACCTTTTTAAACTGTTTTTATTTAGTCAGACTTTGGCAGAAAACCTTTCAAGCTGAGCCCAGGGGGGGAAAGTGACCATTGGCACAGGATTCAGCCAATGCTTTTGGCCTAAGATCGCTTCTATTTTTATTTTGGTTCTTGTTTTTGTTCACATCCAGGGCAAAGATTAAGCACTTTCACTTATCTGGTAACGGTGAGAGGGCTTTGGACTGCTCGCCAGAGGCCAGGATACTGCCTGCTTAAAACTATTAACCCGCAGCTACCTCCTGGGAGATAAGATCTAGCCGTTCAACTTGGCTTTCCCGAAAGGAGGCTCTGTGCTTCTACTTGATCAGAGAGAGAGAAAGGGGAAAGATAAATCCCAGCCATGGTTGGATTTTGAAAAAGGATAGTAGCCTAATTTATGGAGGTTGTTTTTTGAAAAAACTAACTTTATGTCATAATTTCTTAGCTGCCAAAAGACGTAATTCTACCTCGGCTTTGCCTTGGCAACCTGCTTTTGGCAGCCTGCATAGCCCTGCCGCTGCTCTGCATTATTTAAGCAGTAATCTTTAAGAAGGTGAGAAACTATTATTGCTTTTTAGCACAGTTGACATGATATTGGCGTGGACTCATACCTAGAGCTTCAAACATTTCTGATGGCGGTAAACCAACTTAAACACCTCTGTGTAGAGGTCTCACTGCCATGAGGTCATCGTTTGCTACAAGGGGAGAAAGAAGATCAAATGTTGTCTAAAGGGTTGTTGTGGGGTTTTTTTCTTTTTAAGAATTCTTATTTCATGGGGTTGTGGCTGTAGGTTCTGGCCAGGATCCAGACCGTCAAAGATTTAGCATCTTGACCAGCTGTGATCTAGCAATGTTCCTCAGAGGAAACATTTTGTAGGAGGGAAAGACACATATTTGAGACTGCGGAGTGTACTCTTTCCTAATACTTTACAGAGTGAGACCTGCTGGTAGACAGATAACACAAGCACAGTGACTGAAAGAGAACAGGAAAAAATCTTCTCACACAGCTCCGAATGCACCCCCGCGTCAGGAACTTGCTTGATGTGGGAAGTTTTTGTTTTCCCTTTATTTTATTTCCCCCTCAAGTCTCCACGTGTATATCATTTTGTGTCAGAAAGTGTTTCTGTTCATCATGCGTGCTTAAATGCATCAGCATTCCTATAACAGCCTAACGAGTCTTAGGAAGCCAGAAACGCCACACGAACTTAATATAAAGTAGGAGAGAAGGAAAGATTCCCAAGCCATTTGACCTAAAAATTATTCTGACAGGTGGCAGTCCCAGGACCTGGGAGAGAAAGGAACTAACATTTATTCAATCAGTCTGCCTTTGTTAAATTATCTCTATGCCTCCGTTTCCTCATTTGTAAAATGAAAGATCTGTTCACAATTCATAAGAGAAGTGAGGATTAAATGAGACCATGTATAAAGTTGTTGAGAGTACTTTCTTACCCCGTAGTACTTCATAATATTAGTTGTTACTGTTTTAATTCTTAACCATAATTTATAGAGTACCTACTTGTTGTACTAAGAATTTTACTTGTATAACTCACTTAACTCTTGGGTATACCCACCCAATAGTAAGGACTGTTGGGTGGGTATACCCGATTTACAGAAGAAGAAACAGGTTCAGGGAAATGATGTGCTTCACAGTTTCTCTGTTTTGTAATGGTGGGGTTGCACATGGAGTTCTGGAATATTACTTATGGGAGGTGTAGAAATGAGAACACGTTTTGGACCAGTGCTCTCTTATCTTGTTTGCTCTCTCCCAATCCCTTTTGTATAAAAAAGAGGCTGTAGCTTTAAGCAACAGTACCAGCAAAGAAAGAAAGAGGAGGAGAAAGTTGTGGGGGCAAGGATGATAGAGGGGAATGAGCGGGGTTCTGTTGTCTCCAGGTTGGCTTCCTGGCAGGTATTTGTGTAAAGGCTATAAAAGTTCGAACGTGGTTCTCCTCGGTGACGCTGGGGAAATAGAGAAGTTCTGCCTCTTACAAAAACTCTCCCCCCTGAAGCTAAATTCATGCAGAAAAAATGATGCATCAGGGGTTTGGGGACAACTGGAATGTACCACAAAGGATTCTGGGAAGTTCTTATAGTCCCTAAGCATTTGGTAGATCGTGTAAATAGAGGCAGTTTGAGCATTTCTGTTTTATCCAAAGCTTTCCCCACCCCAGGTTCTCAAGAAAAAAAGAAAAGAAAAAATGGAATGAAGTTTAACATTGGGCAGAATAACTCTTTTTGATTGATTTAGTACTTCTCCAAAACTCCTACACTACCCTTCATTCTTTATCTGCTTCTTGCAGCTAGCTCCCTGGTGCACAGAGTGGAGATGGGGGTGGGTGGGAAGAATTCCGATTGTTCCTGTTTAGCCAGGGTTCTGTGTAGGGAAAACGATAGCAGGAAGGAGCTCTAGATTCTAGTCTTTCCTCTGCTACCCATCACCCTATGTTTCTGCCCAAGACACACATGTCTTTGCACCTCAGTTATCCCTTCTGTAAAAGACTTTGGGAATCCGAAGCCTGTGGAAGCTAATAATAATCACAGCAACCACCATCATCAGTATACCTGCCCGGCATCCGGCCGAGGATTGGAAGCACATCGTTTTATTTACTCATTACCGCAGCCCAGCAATCCATTTTACGAAGGAGAAAACTGCAGCCCAGAGAAGACGAGTGGCTGCCTACAGTCATATAACTAATAAGTGGCGAGTTCAACCTTAAGTCATAACTCCAACTAGGCTCATGGTGGTGGCAGAGCTAGGAATAGAATCCATGTCTTTGAACACCCTTTCTCATCACTGTCACTCCCTCCAGATACAGCTGAAGGGAGAGCAGAAGGTAACTGACTGCAATAAATGAGGACTGGCAGAATGAGAAAGCAATTAATCACCTTAATTTGTAGAAATCAGAGAAGATTTGAACCCAAAAAAAGCCAAATTTAAACCAGACTGTCCTCCTCGACCTCTAACTCCAAACCACTTGGCTTCTCCCCCACCATGCTGTCTGTGACTTTAGGAGAGTCTTTTCTGCTTGTAGCAACGGGTTTATCATTAAGGAAGGTAACAGCCCAGATGTGGTTCAGCTGTTCAGCAGTCTATGCTGTGTTTTCACTAAACCATGGCCTAGTAAATTTGCAATTACAATATCTTTGGGTTGTTGCTTTTTAATAAATTCCTTTTAATTGCAGCATTAAACCCCAGATGTCATGTTTCCGGGTTTCCAGCTTGGACCTACGCCAAGCTGGAAGACACATCTACTCCAGGCAAATGGCTGAGGAGGAGGAGAATGTGTGCGGTGAACTGGGGACTTGACTCAGCTGCTTAAACCTCAGGCTCTGTGCGCCTGAATCTGTAGTCTAAGGCATGAGCAGGAGACAGAGCAAAGTTCCCACATTTCCTGCTGCGGCCGCTCCTCCCAACACCACGTTCACTCTGGTTGTTTCTAAGAGTGGAAATTCCTTATGGGTTATTCATCACAGCTTAAATAGCATACTAATTTCATTTGATAAATAAATTGTCAGCAGTCTTTAAAAATTGGCCATGTAATTAGGAAATCTATACATTTCGACCTCTTCTTCCATCGAGATGAAATAATCACAGAGCCAGACTGTAATCAGACAAAAGGAATTTTGAAACCTTCTGGGCCTTCTTTGTTGATCTATTGTTTGCCTTTTTTAATTGCTACCTTTTACCTTTTTAGGCAGTACTAGAGATAAAATACTCCTTTTCTTTCTTGTACAAATTTAGCTCCCACTGAGATGTGAAGTGAAGGTTTCTTCTGGAAACCTGTTAATTATGAAAATCAAATTTTATTAAAACTGTGTGCTTTGTGTTTTTATAGAGATGCTCACAGCAGTTTCTTTTTTTAGTTTATTTTTGTTAACATTTTAGATCTTTATTGTTGAAAGTACTACATTGTCCCCCTTTTTTTTCTCCCATTGATCCCTTCTAGCTCACCCCAACCCCCTGAAGAGTAAGATTTTAGAAATACCCTTAATCTACAAAACTAAAGGAATGATTAAGCAATTTATAATATTCTAGTCAGTGGAGCAACCATTATAATTGTTTACCAGATTTTAATAACATCCAACAGCAGACTACAGAATTGTATATATCTACCACAAACACAACTTGAGGTTTTTTTGGTCTTTTAAAATTAAACACACACACACGCCGAAACCTGTTTGGCTCAATGGATAGAGCGTTGGCTTGGGAACTGAAAAGTCCCGGGTTCGATTCCAGTCAAGGGCATGTACCTTGGTTGTGGGCATATCCCAAGTAGGGGATGTGCAAGAGGCAGCTAATCGATGACTCTCTCTCATCTATGTTTCTAACTCTCTCTCTTCCTTCCTCTCTGTACAAAATCAATAAAATATATTTTTTTAAAAAAATTAAACACACACACATAAAATCAAAGTCTGGAAGGAAAATATTCAAAATTAATAGTGGTTATTTGATGGGTAATAGCCTTGTGAGAGATTTTTATTTTTCATATGGTTTATATTTTTTTAATTTTCCCTGGAAAATTATTACCATAATTAAAAATGCATGTGTGTTTGTATATATTTTAATGTAATCATTCAACACTTCAGCTGTTTGGAACTCAGCTATCTTAAAAATCTGGAACATTGCTAAGATCCTGGAAGTAATAAAAAAAAAATTAATTCTGAGCAGCCAAAACTAATGTTACAAAACTTATAATAAAGCTTATTATACCCAGGACATCTGCTGGCCCCTCGCTCCAATCCTATTTACTCTCACTTTGCACACAATTCTTAGGACATCTACTTCACAAGGACACGGTGCTTTAGAAGCAAACATTAGAAAAAGAGAAGCCCCTGCAGCGAGAGGTGGACGTAGCCACACAGTGAGAGAGGACCTGGGGAAGCTCCCGTGCAGAACTCTCAGACTCATGTTCTCAGAAACAGGCCACTGGAAATCCTACAGTCTCTTTACTGTGTCATAGTTTACTAATACGTGTTCATAGTGATGGCCCAGAGCTATGAAGATGACTTTATTACCCCTGGCTGAGGTGGCTCAGTTGGTTGGGCATCATCCCATACCCTGAAAGGTTCCCTAATCAATTTCTGGTGAGAGCAATGCCGAGATGTGGGCTTGATCCCCCATAGGGGGCGTGCAGGAGACATGTGATCGATGCTTCTCTCTCTCTCTCTCTCTCTCTCTCTCTCTCTCTCTCTCTCTCTCTCTCCCTCCCTCCCTCCCTCCCTCCCTCCCTCCCTCTCCCCCTCTCCCTCCCTCTCTTTCTAAAAATCAATTAAACAAAGATATCCTTTTTGTTCAGCTTACTCTTTTTAAGATTATAAGAAATACTTTAAGAAAAATTTTGGTAAGGTTTTATTGCACCTGGCTAAAATTGATTAAAAAAAAAAAAATACAGACGTGGCGATTAAAGGGTAAACTTTAGATATGTAGACTTCTTTATTGCCTATCTATAAGAACGCATTTTCTAACCCTTTTTAAGAGGGAACGTTTTACTGTTACTGGAGTTTTTCAAATTGTAACTCAAGCTATCATTACCTGGATTCTCATAAAAATCCAAGGAAACAGGAGAAGAATGTCATGAAATCGGGATGTCAGAAAATATCAGTCTCTACCTCTCAAACGCATAAGAATACACCCTTTAAAATTGAAGTAACACCCCAGAGCTTAGATACACACTGAGTGGCCAGATTATTATGATCTCTGAACGAATAATAATCTGACCACTCAGTGTATATCCTGTATAATAAAAAGCTAATATGCAAATTGTCCCCTTGACCAGGAGTTCCACCAGCAGGCAGGCAGGCCATCCACTCATGTCCCCTCCCTCTGACCAGGCTGGCTAGACCCCACCCATGCACGAATGCATGCACCGGGCCTCTAATACACACACACACACACACACACACACACACACACACGTGTTCAGAGATCATAACAATCTGGCCACTCAGTGTAGGTTGGACGATTGTGCACTGCTGACAAAAGTTCAATGAAAAGGCCTGTAGAATGGCATGTACTGGTAGCTTGAAGTCTGGCATATCATTGGTTTTTAACAAATGTTAGTTGAATTTGAATATGATTTTTCCCAGGTGGGATGAGACAGACTGTGTGGGCTCTCGAGTCAGACTGAATCTAGTTCAGATGTGGTTTCTGCACCTTAAACCACAGAACCCACTCACCCCCCTTTTTCACAGGGTGGATGTGAGTGTCCAGCATTATGGATGCTCAGGAAAATGGGAGTTCCCTTCCCATTAGAGTTGCCAGAAGGGATGTCACACTTTATTACTTTTCTGTTGAGGAGAGTCTTCAGGGAGTCTTGGAACCCTAGGGCAGCGGTCTCCAGCCTTTTGGACCTCACAGACCACCGGTTGGCGACCACTGCTCCAAAGGATTCCTTAAACTAGGGGTGTCGAACTCAATCAGAGAAGGGGCCAAAATCTAAAATCCAGCCTAAATCGCGGGCCGAATGGTTTACTGAACAGTCATAAACTGTCATTGTGATGGAAACGCAGCGGAGTGCAGTGATGACAGCGCGGTGCGGGCCACATTGCAAGGCCTTGCGGGACGGATTTGGCCCGCGGGCCTTGTGTTTGACACACGTGCCTTAAACCGTCAGCTGCCAACCTCACGGACCACCAGTGTCCATGGACCATCGGTTGGTGACCGCTGCCCTAGAGGACTACAAAACCCCTTTCCGCTGTGCCGTAAGCACTGCTGCCGCACCCTGGTCCATTTCTCTGCCTTCCATCAGCCTCGGAGGGAAGCAGGGCAGGCTGGGGTGGGGAGAGGGGAGGCCATGGCATTCAGCCTTCATAACCGAGGGTGGTGAGCACCTGGCGTCCAGCTCCATGCCAGCACTGTCACCTCCACTGTCCCAGGCTGGCTCACCTGTGCTTCCCACGCCGCCTCGGCTGGGTGAGAGCTGCTCAGAATGGGCGGTGGGCAGTGCCGATGCTCTGTTTCGGTTTGATTGCCTCGGCTCCCTGCAGAGTCACTCAGAGAGGGGCAGTAGACAGGTGGGAGGGTGAAAACTGCAAGGTTCACAGAAATGTGTGGCTTACCCGGTTACTGCGAGTTTTATATATTATAACATATTAACTGAAAACCTAGATTAAGGCCAGCAGGTTTTGCTCTGTTTTGTTTTGTTTTTCTTGGGAACTAAAAACAGTAATTTGCCAGTGTGCTTGCCCGGGTCTGTGCACCCCACTGGCCACCTCCAATTATGAAATCTCTCCTGGCACCAACACTTAGAGCCACACAAGGTTATCTGACAGGCCTGGGGATTAGCAGCCTTGCGGTTGCCTTTTCTCAAGAAGCATAAGCCTTGCTTAGGTGTCTGAGACCACAGGGATAATCCAGCATCGGGGGGGGGGGGGGGGGGGGGGGGGGGGACGGGGGGGGGGACACGAGAGAAGGAGCAGGGAGGGAGCTGGTACAAGGGCTTGTGGCTGTGGACACAGGTAGAAGGAACCCTCAATCCTTTCTTCTTTTTCAAGACACGTCACTGTTGTGATTTAGAAGTGTTAAATTACTCTTACTCAGTCATATGGATGGCTTTCTCCTACCAGCTCGGAAGCTCCTCAGAGGCAGGTCTACTCCGTCCTGCATTTGTTTCCCGACCCCAAGGCCGGGCACCTGGAGTAGCTGTTCGTTGGGCGGGCTAGTCTCAAGTCTAGCCTCCGCTCATGCCTAGTAGTTGCCCTTGTGCAAACAGCTTCTGTGTCTGTGTGTTTCCTCACTAAAGAACACACGAGTCTAACAGGTCTTGTGTTTCTACCTCCCTCTGTCTGGACCCAGTCTGTTTCTGTGGTTCTATTGCAGCTGACTAGCTTCATCCAAGTATAATGTTAAGAACGGTGATGAGTCCTCTAAGGTGGTTTTACTAGCACAGTGTATAATAGCATGACCGTTATTCCCAGGGTCTGAATCCTCTCTTTCCATTCACTAATTGTTATTTATTATTTCGAACTTAAGAGTAGTAATGTATACTCTGCTTTCTTGACAGGGTTTTTGTGAGTACCAAATGAAATGATGAGTATGAAATTACTTTAGAAACTAAAATTTGTATCGCTTAGGAGTGATTATTATTGCTGGCCCGAAGTATCTTCTTGAGAATTAACTCAAGTCTGAAAGAAGGCACTTAAAGCCAAACTTATAATATGCGTGTGACCAGCCTTGTAAAGG